AACGCGGGATCCGTGGTACGTGCCGAGCAAACATGGGCCCCAGCGGATTTGCATGTGGTTTCAAAATCCAACGGATGGCACCATTGCTCAAAGATGGCAGAATCATGCTCTCCGTGAAGCGGGTCGCCCCTTCAAATGGCAATGAAGTTCGATGGCTGGAAGCTCGTCCAAACTGGCTGGTAGACATACAGCCCCTGAAAAAAAATGCCCTCGAATGGAGGGGGCCGAAAACCAGCCTGCCTCTACACACATCATAGCAGGCCGGCCGACTCTGGAGCAAACAAGGGGAACCCCTGAAAGCGACACTTTGTTAGACAATAAAAGGACGCCCAAAACACGCGTTTTTGCTTGGAAACGCCTAGTAGGGATTATTGTGGTTAGTTTATTCATCAACTGGTTCCCCGTCAAAACAGTAGTCATTACCAAAAAAGTGCCTGGTACAGCACCAGCCACTGTTCCACCGTCGTGGCGTTCATAGTCCCCCTTCAATGCCAGTCCCCTCCTAAGAATACAACCCCCAGAATTTATCCTGGCATTCTCCAGCCCCGGGAGGAAACAACTAAGTTTCCGTCTGCTTTCCTATTGCTGTCCTATTGGCCAGACAGCTCATCAGGCATGGAAAATCCAGGGAGCTCCAAACAACTGCGTTTTGTGGTCAAAGCCCCTGTTTCAAAGGTCCCCTTGTTTTTGTTTCAACTGGGCTCTGGCTGGGGCCTTCCGCGCGTGAAGCAGGCCTTGACATTGTTTACGAAGAAGCCCTAAAACACTCCCCGCACCCTCAAGCATGCAACTCCCCTGATTCACATCCCCTTCTCAACGTCGAAAGAAATTCGTAGGCAGAAGTATTGGCAGTAGCTTTTGTATTTTTCTCGTTGTTTGGAAGAAAAAGGGCCATCTTTAGCCAGGGGCAAAAGGGCAGTCTTTGCCCTGGGGGTTTATATATCACCACTCCAGCTCGAGGCGAGCGTGGCCGGCGAGGACCGGGTCTTCCGCTTCTTCCTCCCTCCTTGGGTCCTGGGGGCGCGTCCCTTCGCCTTCGCCAAGCTTCGGCCGAGCGCCGGCGCTCGGCCGAGCGTTCGGAGCGTGAGCGGCGTGAGCCTGGGCCTCTTGAGGAGGGTGCGGAAGCCAAGGCGGGACTGAGGGCTGCCCTTTCGGGAGCACTACCTCTCAAGCAGCAATCAACCGAAGGGGCAGGTCAAAAGGGAAACCAAGCACAGTTTGGGGATCAAACAGCTGTCATAGGTGGCCTTTTGGAAAAATTGATGGCCCTGGTAGATGGAATAAATCCCATCTAAACCAGGGCCCTCTATTGTTGAAGCAAACCAACCCAAAAGGACACCTATGGCTGTTACCTTACAGAGCTAGAGTCGCAGTTCGCTACCCTGAGCCGTCGTCCACCGATATGATCCCCCCAAAAGTGTCCCGTGCCAGGCCCGTCACGACGTCGCCAAAAGCCGCGGCCGCGACGACTCCAGCGGCGCCTGCTTTGGCGCCGGGTCTGGCGCTGCCGCTGTGGCAGACGGCGCTGGCTGGGGGCGCGGCGTGCGTGGGGCACCGAGCCACCTGCGCCACGCTGGAGGAGCTTCTCGCGCAAAGGACGGGGGGGGGGGAAGAGTTCTGCAAGGGCGAGAGGCTGTCCAAAGCCCTTGATGAAACCAAGGGTTAAACCACAATTGCTTAAACAACCTCCTTTAGGTTGCGCAGAAGACTGGGGGGTGAAACCCGTTCACCCCATCAGGAAGGTTCCTAGCTTGGCCCAAGAGGTGGCTGTAGCAAAGCGGGATGTGCGACTTGGGTTTCTGTGAAAAGATTCATGCTTGGGTTTGGTGCTGGATGTTAGCAGGTCTTGGTCCGATTTGCCTCTTTGGGGCGAGCTTGGTCTGCTCGCTGCTGCACGGTCTGGCTTTCTGAGCGCCGCAGCCGCCGCCGCCGGCGCCAAACCACCGCCACCGCCACCGACAACGACAACCTCAGCAGAAACCCAAAGGAACCTACATATGTAAAAATAATGTTCTTGTGGTTGCTGCTGCTCCGGTTGGTCTGCTTGCTCTTGTTGCTGTTGTTGCTGTTGTTGCCGAGCTTGTTGCCGTTTTTGCTGTTGCCGTTGCTGTTGCTGCTGGTGCTGCTGTTGTTGTCCTTGTCCTTGTCGTTGTCGTTGTCCTTGCCGTTGCTGCCGTTGCTGTTGCTGTTGCTGTTGCTGGAATTCGAGCTTGTCTCAAACATGATGCTTTGCCACATGTGTACTTTCGGCATTCCTGTTTGTTTCCCTCTTGAAGCTGACCAATTCCCTACCAGCTTGCAAAATGCAGAGCCTTGCAGGGCAAGAACCCACCAAGCCCAAAATCGCCCAAAATCGCCGGCCCCTTTCAAGCCTACCAAAAGATCTCCCCGCCCCCAACAAAAAAAAAAAAAAAAACGAAGCAAAAATGAGCGCAGGAGCGCCAAGCTGGCGCCTTCCGCGCTGGCGCGGAACCTGCTGAGGTCCGGTCGCGGAGGGGGGGGGAGAGGGAGGGGAGGGATGAAGCGGAAGCCATTGGGCGGCGAAAGGTTCTGGGCAAGTCGTCTTCGTTGTTCTTCTTCTTTTCCTCCCTGGCGAGCGCACGGGTGACCTTTTCATTTCATGTCTGAGTATGGTAGATATTGAGGAGCTCACCGAGGGTGACCGGGTGTGGATTGGGCTTTTGTGACTGGATGGTCAGCGGCGCCGTTGCAACAGCGCGGTGGCAAATGGGATGTTCACGCACCGTGGGTGGGTAACTTTTGCCGGAATGCAGGGAGCACTTGCTCTGCCGTGGCCCGGCTCTCTGATTGCCGCCTGAGGGGGCCGTTATAATGTTCGGAACTGACCGGACTCGCGGTTTGCACGTGTCGCCCTTCACGTCTGGGCTCGCTGGTCATGCTAGCAAATGCCTCGTTTTTGGGCTTATGCCTGTTGTGAGTGAGTAGGCCTCGCGGCCAATAGCTGCACGTAAAAGCTCCTTGTTCTTTAGCAGGTTCATTTGGCGACGCGTCGTTTGCACTTGAGAGATGAAGGTCCCTTATTTGGGGCCTCTTTATCACCAATTCGGACATTGCAGCAATTTGCTACTCTACTTGGACGGTAGAGTGGGCTGACTGAATCTCAAAACTACCTCTTGGTGGTTCGAAGTGAAACTGCCAAACTGTTCACGCACACATAAATGGTCCAAAGGGAAACCAAAAGGAAACCGTTCGTTTGGTACCAAACCATTAAACTCAAACCCAGTGAAGCCTGCACTTGGAAGGCCAGCAAATGGCTAGAAGCCCTACTTTTAATCTTGGCCAGTGGGGGGGGGTCCGCTGGTAGGTGAATCCACAGCGGCAAACACGCCTAAGGTGTCTGGGACTGACGTCCTTTCACTTGGCCGCGCAATCAAGTTAAGAGGCTGTTGGGACAGCGCGGACACGCTGTCCTTGCAAGTTAAGTGAGTGGGCGTTGAACAGGAATGAATGCGCAAGATCGCGCGAAACCAACCGTCCAAAGGCTTCACAGGTTCACTGCTTTTCATGAACCTCGGGGACTCGGGGGTCCCTGGAAAAGCACGGTTAGAATTTGCTTTCCTTCTGCCTTTCGTCGAGCCAGGGCTTGGGGCTGCCCCAAAGAACCAAAGAGCACTGGTTGCCCTTCGGCCACTCAGAGCAGCCCGGGTCTGACGTCCCGAGGTTTGCGCCCGCTGGTCTCCCCTTCGGCGGGGCATGCTGCAGCTTCTACGCTGGGGCCTTGGGCCCTCGGGTGAGGGTAGGGAGGGCGAGTTGAGTTGTCCCGCGGGTTCGCCATGGTGGTTGGCTCATTGGTCATGGTTTGGGGAGGCCGATTTGAATGCTCTTCCTTGCGGAACCACTGCAGGGTACCAGGACAGAGGATTGCCAGGCAGTCTTATGTTGAATTCACTCTCCCCACCACAAACCAATCATGCAAACTGACGGAGCGTCCTTTTTTTTGGGGGGGGAGGGGGGCGAGGGCGCACAAATTAAGATAGTTTTTGACGGGAAACTCCGCGGAAAACCCGGCATTCCAAGGGACGCCCGTGGCCAGGCCTGGACTCCTAGAGCGGTGCTCGTTGGAATACGGCCTTGCAGCCGCGTGCAAACGAAACCGCACAGAGAGGTCTTTCGGCAAACCGTCCTCTTGAGAAGGCGGGTAATGAGGATTAATGAACCCGTCCCACTAATAGGGGAGGTGGTCCCTCCAAAAGTGGTCTGCATCCCCACCAAAAGGGAACACCCCCCCCATTAATCAACCAGGGGTTTATTAATCCGGGGTTAAACATTAGCTGCACTTCCACAACTGGGAGCCGGGCAATTCTGGGAAGTTGATCTTAACAGGTGCCACTCAAGCGCTCGGCCTGTCTGCGATCCATGCAGGGGATCGATCGCACTGGGGGTTCTCTTAGCTGGCTGGTTCTTAATTAGGGAATGTGGGGGATGACGTCACCAGCCATTTCCTGTATACAGAGGTCCGCTGGCTAGGTAGGGTTATTCACATGTTCCCTACTGAGTCAAGCATGATGTATTCGGAATAGCCAATGCAGCTTGCCTGAGGGGCTTGCCTTGGATTGCAGAAGGGTCCCTTTCATGGTTGCTCTTTGTGGTGACCTTTGACCTGTTAAGTTTGAACAGCGGCTGCTTCAACACTAGCCAGCATGAAGCGGTACTTTTGGGGGTCACAGGCCCACCCAGCTCAGTGGTTTTCCCTGAGTGGGAACAGTTTGAACATTCCTGTTTGACTCAGCCCCCGCTTGATTTTTGCTTCTTGTTGGCAATGCCGGGTTTATCTCAACAAGATGCAACCCTGGTAGCAAAACCTCCCTGTGAGAAACAATAAAAACCAGCAAACCCGCAGAAACGTCTGCATATCTCACATAGCCCATTACAACGGCCCCTCTGCGTTGCCGTCATGCCGTCCTTGGGACGGCAAGGGCAACCAAAAGGAATTCAGGGCTCCAACAAGCACCATAAGGGAAGCATTCCTATTTCCGAGATTCCACCTGTGACAGCAACCTGAACCAGATAGCTGCATCATTATGATGTCTTTTTAGACACCATTTTTTGCCGGAAAGGCAGCCATAGAGCACTTTCGGATGTTTCTGTGTGGCTTGAAAGGCAGAAATGCTCGCTGATGGATCCCGGTTTGGAAAGATGCACAATGATATTCGGCTCATAATCCACTTTTGATATTCTATCTGGAGGCTACTTCATGGCCGGTTAGCTGCACCATTTGACAGGAACTTGTCATTTGACAGTTCGCAAAAAGGAATGTCATCTTCTCTCATCTTGATGATGGCCTCAGAACTTGATGCACAGAAAGCCCAATCATAAACATCAATTTTGGTAGGCAAAAGCTGAGATAGATTTCCGCTAGCGACCATGTCTTTCAGGGCTCAAAAAGTGATGTGGCTGAAGAAACAGCTTGCCCGATCGCCAGGATTCCCCCCGGTCTGGATTCAAATGGCATGTTCCCAACACTTTCCGGAGGCCTCCCTAGGTGTTCAGAACCTGAAGATGCGCTCGCTGATCAAGTTGTCTCTGTTTACACAGCTCTCAACCTGCGATCTGCGTTCTCTTGCTCGGTATGGCGTGTCGGTATCGCGTATGACCGAATCGGCCCTTAGACATGTTGGAAACAAATGGTAACGAGCTTCTGCTAGGGGGCTTGGACCACCCAGTTTCGTCCAGGCTGTTTTGTTCACCTGGCCTGCTATGGAGGGCTCGCCGCTGCACTTGACGTTTGCTGGCCTCGATGGCCGCGAAGTGCGCCTGACAGTGCCCTTGCCGGACTCTGTGGAGGTTTTCCTTCATCCTACCTTTCAACCAGAGCAAGTCCTCTTTCGTTTCAGGCTGTTCCCTAACCAGAACAACAACGGTAAGTTGTTGCAGGGTTTCCCACCATTCCCCCTTACCAGCAAGCAACTTTTTGACCTTTGCAGGGCGCTTCAGCCAGTTCTTCGGTGCATTGTGCTTGGATGTTCGGCCTTTTTAAATCTTTTTGCGCAAATTCACTGGGTTTTTCCGTATTAAACCACTAAAGTCGCAACAACTTTTAGCAGCAGATGTCGCAGATTTGGTTTTCCAACAACACCACTCAAGTCGCAAAAACTGTTTAGCAGGGCTTCGCAGATTTCGCCGAGAGCTGTCAGCAGCAGCGTCGAGAAGTCGACAAGTCGGCCGAGGTGTCGGATCAGATCTCGGGCTTTCAGCTCCTGCGGCTGGCGCGGTCCCAGCTGCCGAAGCCCGGCGGGGTGCTCCGCTTGAGCTTCGACGGGGCGGAGCTTCTGCCCGACCGACGCTTCACGGCTAAGCTCTGCGCGACGTTTGTGGTTTTTTTGGGTGTCCTTTTTGGGGGGGTTTGGTGGAAAAATCGAGGGCACGGGTTTACCTGGTTTCATCATCTACCAGGGAAACCCATCTATTTCCCCTAAAAGGACGCCTATGGCCTTTTGTGGTTTCTGTTTGGTTGCTCTCTTGTTTTTTGGGTTGGTTACTTTTTTTTCTTGGCATGTTTCCCTCCCCCCCCGGTAAGTTTCTTTGGCTTGTTGGCATTCTGTTGATTTGAGTGGGGCTGCGAAGAACACTAGGTTTTGTTATCTGCCACGACGTTGTGTTGACAGGAACTTTGCGAGAGCAGGGCTTGCCGGATGGCGCTTTCGGCATGTTCACCTACACCAAGACCTGCCTCGTGCAGGTTTGGGCGGCGCTGGCGGGAGCTGCTCTTTCGGAGGAGGCCTTGGAAGGTGTCACGCAGCTGAGGTGGGAGAAGAACTACGTGGCTCAACTGACCGCAGCTTTGCCCTGCACGCTGCAGAGGCTGATGCTCAGCAGCGGGTTCAACCAAAGCTTCACCGTGTTGTTGCCGAGCAGTCTGCAGAGCTTGACCTTTGGCCAGGACTTCGACCGAGATCTGCAAGGAGTGAATTTGCCGCACAGTCTGCAGAGCTTGACTTTCGGCCGGGCCTTCAACCGAGGCCTGCAGGGCGTGACTTTGCCGAGCAGACTGCAGTCCTTGACCTTTGGTGATGAATTCAACAAAAGTTTGCTGGGAGTGACCTTGCCAAGCGGCCTGCAAAACCTAAGCTTTGGCAACAAGTACACAAAATCCTTGCAGGGCGTGGCTCTGGGCTGCCTTCAACGCTTGACTTGTGGCAATGGGTTTGGGCATGACTTGCCAGGAGTGACTTTGCCAGGCAGCTTGCAGAGCCTGACTTTCGGTCGGGACTTTAACCGAACTTTGCAGGGACTGACTTTGCCAGGCAGCCTGCAGAGCCTGACTCTTGGCGATGGCTTCAACCAATGTTTGCTGGGAATTGCCTTTCCGTGCAGCCTAAAGAGCCTGACTTTTGGGGCGCGCTTCAACCAAACCTTGCAGGGAGTAGATTTGCCAGTCAGCTTGCAACGCCTCAGTTTCGGCAGGTGCTTCAACCAAGACATGCAAGGGGCCACTTTACCAGGCCTTCTCAGTGTGACTTTTGGTGACGACTTCAACCAAAGCCTGCAGCACGTGGCCTGGCCCAGCCTGCAGAGCCTAACCTTGGGAAACGGCTTCAGCCAAGGCTTGCAGGGAGTGACTTTGCCCGAAAGCCTGGAGACTCTGACTTTGGGCTTGCACCAAAGTTTGCAAGGAGTGATTTTGCCAGGCAGGCTGCGGAGTCTGAGCTTTGGCTTCAACGTTGATGAAAACTTGCAGGAGTTAACCCTGCCAGCCAATCTGCAGAGTTTGACACTCAGCTTGAACGAGCGCCTGCAGGGAATGACTCAGCCGGGCAGCTTGCAGCGCTTGACTTGCGGCAACAGGTTGGGGCAGCACTTGCAGGGGATGGCTTTGCCAGGCAGCCTTCGAAGCCTGACCGTGGGTGATGGATTCAACCAAAGCCTGCAGAGGATTGCTTTGCCGAGCGGCCTGCAGAGTCTGGCTTTCGGCCGGGACTTTAATCGTGTCTTGCAGGGAGTGGCTATACCAGGCAGTTTGCAGAGCCTGACCTTTGGAGATGGGTTCAACCAAAGCTTGCTGGGCGTGATCTTGCCGGACGGCCTGCAAAGCCTCACTTTCGGCGCCTGCTTCAACCAAAGCCTGCAGGAGGTAGTCTTGCCCAGCGGCCTGCAGAGCCTCACCTTTGGCGCGGGATTCAACCGGGATCTGCAGGGAGTGCCCTTGCCAGCGAACCTGCAGCACCTGACCTTTGGCGAAGGATTCAAGCAAGGCCTGCAAGGCGTACCCCTGCCAGGCAGCCTGCGGAGCCTGACTTTCGGCGCCAGCTTCAACGGGAGCCTGAGCGGCATATATGCGAGTGGCCTTGAAAGATTCTCGGGCGGAGGCATCACCGTTCATTGTGGTTGATGGTCGCTGAGCTCGGTTCAGTGCAAGTGGCACAAGTCTGCCGGCGCGAAGAAAATGTTGGTGTCCCGCGTGAACGAGCGGAAAGCTGAGCCTGGGGAGGCCCCAAGCTTTCTTTCCAGGCCGGGTCTGTACGGGCTTTGACCATATTGAGTGGAACACCGCCTGGGATGGTCATTGCATATTAGGCGTGAAGTAGCCAAACCAAGGCCTAAAGGGTGGATGTGTTTTTTCCATTTTCTGGCCAGTTCTTGCAGTTCGTTGTGAAGTCATTTGCGTCGAGTGCTGATCGTTTGTGATGGCCATGATTGCGGATCCGTTGTCCGAAACCTAGGAATTCTGGTTGCAAAATTTCTGGGAAGTTGCGTTATGAACGACATGTTCTTCTCCATGTTGAATGGTGTTGACAAAGATCATGACTCTTCCAGAGGTGGCACTGGCATCGGACAGCTCTTGGACTGAGCCCCTGGCGTGTCACGCATAGGTTCCTCCTGTTCTTTGATCTTGAGGTTCCTTTCCGGGGAGAGTGTAGTCTATGATCAAATCTACTTTTGTTGATCACCCTGCCATTGGTCTTTTTGATTCCCTTGAGCATGGACAGCTATGGCCCGTCCTTGTCTCTCGAGCAATGCTACAGCTCTCTAAGACTAAGAAGGGCCGTTGCGTGAAACGAACGCCGTGAAGGTCAACTGTACAACTGGATCCTTTTGCATCCGAGAAACCTGGGACTGCAGCTTTGCTTCGCCGGATGGACGCGCAACCTTTTCAGAGCAGGGCACCCTGGTAGTGCGCTTTCTGCTTGCAGTCTTCTCATGTGCGCTACCACAGTCCCCGCGTCTCCTTCTTTTGGGGCTTTTTCGACGGCATAAAACTCGGCGGAAGTGCGTATTTTCCTTTGAAACCAAAAAACAAACGGGCTTTCCTCAAAACCAACGCGCACACACACACACACCCAAATGGGTCGCCGGTCACCTGAGCCACAATCAAAACCCTGGTAGATGAAGGTTAGTAAGGGGTAATCCCAGCCATAAATCGCTGCGGAAATGTCCGCCTTCTTCATTCTTGAAGCATGGTTCTGGGATCGCCCTTTTAATGCAAAGGGTTTTGAGCAAGTGGTTCACCCCACGTCACCTCCAGGGGCGCCGCCTGAAAAAAAACTCCGCGGACGGAAGCGGCGCCGAGGTGAACTTCCTGGCCCTGGCGGGGCGGGACGGGGAGGCCGTGGGGCTCGTCCAGCGCTTCAGCTGCGCCTCCGCGGCCGCGGCTCGGATTTTTCCTCCGCCCGAGGTGAGAGATCTCTCACTGCCTGAGTTCGTGAGTTCTTTAAACGTTTTGGGAAGACCATTGTTAGTGGCAAATAAGTTTGTTGGACTTTTTTTTGGGCCATCCACTCAGCAAGTGAGTAAGGAGAGGCGCAAGTCTGCAAGTCTAGGGGTGGATTCCTTCAACCATTCTTTTCAACCATCGTTCTTTCCAAAAACCGGATCCGTTTTCCCTCGGTTTCTGGAGGTTTTCTAGAAAGAAGGATCCCTGGAAAGAGTGGGGAAGGTACCCCTAGAGCAAGTCACCCCATGTTTCAATATCGCCCCCTGCACCCACGGAAGTCGTGCCACCGACATTTTGCGTCGGAAAAAAAGGGAAGTGGAAGGTGTGCTCAAGAACGAATCTACTCTTAGCCCGGTTTAAAGCTGTTGAACTAGTGTTAACCCCGGATTAATAAACCCCTAGTATTAATAGGGGGGTGCCCCTTTAAGTGGGGTTTCGGACCATTTGGAGGGAACACCCCCCGAAGAACTGGGTTTTGGAGGGAACACCCCCGAAATAATGGGACGGGTTTATTAATCCTGGGCAACATGAAGTCGTGCCATCGACTCTTCCGGTTGTAACCTGCTTTTTGCCGAACCCCTGTGGCCGCCAGTCTCTCCCAAGGTCACCTTGGCCAGCATCGCCACGCACCCGCTCATGGCCAACTTCCAACTGGGACGCTTGGCTCGGGCCCGGGCTTTCACAGCACCCCATGCGAGCTCAACGATTTGGGAGTAGAACAAGAGAAAATCATGACCATCTTTGCTCGAAGGTCCCTCATCTCAGGCTTTCTCAAATGATTGAGGACTTTGCAGATACTCATTGAACAACTCGCAGACCCCATGTCCATTCATTTTTCTTCTTTCCACCGCGCTTGGGGGCAGACACGTTGGTTGTCCTCTCTGGTGGCTTGGAGGACAAGGCCACCGCGGTTTGTCCGAGGTTCCACGTTTTAAGAGTCCTTTTTGCGTGCATCTTGCTTCAAAAAGGGGGGACCCCTGTCTGTGGCTCTCAGGGAAGCCAAAAGAAAGCACCATGTACCCACAAATGATGACCATTTGCCCCTATTTATGGGGGGGATCATAAAGGAACCACCATTTACCCCCATTCTTGGCAAAGGAATTGGGGGGCATCTTGGAGAGAGGAAATCATACCCGAGGCTCGCTGCGGGCCCTTCGGCGCCAGGCCTGCCAAGCCGTGCGGTCTGCGAACCCCGGCTGGCGATTCCCTTCCCGTTTGGTTTCGAGAGCTTCTTGAGGGGTAAGCTTTCCTGCAAGTTGCTTGTGCCTTTCCTATTGAAAACCCACCTTTCAGAGCTTTCTAAGGGTTGCTTTTGGTGGGTTCCCCTGTTTTTGCTCTCGCCGCGGGCACCGCACGAAGGAACCCCGTCGCCGCGCTGGAGATGCTGCCTGGCGAAGCTGGTTCGTTGATACCTCAAGGGAGCCTCATGGAACGTTGGCAGTTGGGGTCCCCCTTCAAGCAATGCCGAGCCGGGGAAAATGGGGATCACGGAAGGATGGGTCAAGAGAAGAGAAATGAGTGGCGGTCTAGTGGCTCTTTGGGTGCGCGAAGACCCGCACGCGAAACTTCTGCGATGGGGGGCAAGGTGCAGCATCGACGTGGTGCGGCACCTGGGCGCGGAGAACGGGTTTTCTCATGGCCCCGGGCTCCTCTTCGCCTCCGGGTGCATGGCAGGACCTGCGGTTTGTGAAGCGCCCCACCAGGAAGGCCAATTTAGTGCCCAGAGGTCGCAACAACTGCCCCTCCCTTTGTGAAGCGCCAGGGAGGTCTTTGGGCGTTTGTCTTTCTGCAAAAAAAGCGGTTTCAGCCTACGAGTTTTCGCTATGTTGACCTGGGGAAATCAACCTGGGGGCTATTGTGAGGGTTTTCCCACCAAACGTATGAGATGAAAAAGAGCTGTGGGTATGAAATTGTGGAGGATCCCCAAAGTGTTCTCATTAAGACGAGGCTTGAGCAAATCCTTGGTAGAGCAGACGCCCCTGTGACTTGGGGACTTCTCACGGTGAGCCTGGCCTTGCCGGTTGCAGGATGCTTTGCCCAGTCTGTGGTGCATGTGCACGACGCAGTGAATCAGAAGAGGCGCCGCGGAAGTCTTTGGCAACATGGATGTCCAAGCTTTCGTCCCGCCCCTTTGGGCGCTTGATGGACAAATTGTAACGAGCGCACGCATACTAATTTGCACAGATGGTTTTCAATCCGCGACACAAAGGAAACCAAAGGAAACCGGTGATGGGGCGTAGAACTCCACTGGATGGATGGGGTGAGTCCCCTTGAAACATCGCAATCAAGCAAGCAAGCAAGCAAGCAAGCAAGCAAGCAAGCAAGCAAGCAAGCAAGCAAGCAAGCAAGCAAGCAAGCAAGCAAGGAAGCAAGCAAGCAAGCAAGCAAGCAAGCAAGCAAGCAAGCAAGCAAGCAAGCAAGCAAGCAAGCAAGCAAGCAAGCAAGCAAGTACACAAGTACACAAGTACACAAGCACACACACACACAGAGCAACTGAGCCCCACCCCCTTCGCCAGCAAGCACACATGAAGAGCCCACAAGGAGGATATCCCTTGGTGGATTTGAAACATCACCTTCCTGTAAATGTTAGGCACCAGGCGGACAGGGTTTCTTACGCTTCCCGTTGAAGGGCTTAACCTCCAGTGGTGCAATGTTTTTCTGAGGGAAATCCTGATTGGCGAAAGAGTCCCTAGCTTTGCCGCTCGCATTCCTGCTTCAACGGCTACATCAACAGCAGCAACACAAACAACGCCATTTACAGGTCGTTGGCTTTGGGCGTTTGCCGCAGCGCAGGGAGCGAAGACGCGAACTACTAGCAAACCTCAGGCAGGATGGGCATGCAGACGGTGGCGTGGGGAGTCGGCGGGGGGTGTTTTTTTGGTGCGCTCGAGCATCTTCTGCTTGCTAGAAGCAAAGCATGAAACACACAATCGCTGAACCCAAAATGAAACTTCCCCAGAATTAGCTCCCCTTTTTACTTTTTTGCTTTTTTTGGGGTCCCCTTTGTTTTCCACTACCCAGGCAAAAATGATAATTTTTGCTGGGGTCCTAATTCCAGCCTAGAAAACAGGCCGTCTTGAAAGGAGACCGAGGAGCATGCCCCGTTCAATCCGCCAGTTCCCCTTTTGGGAGTTGCCTTTTCAACCCGCTTGGGGACTCTCAATGACTCAGGGACCCCTGTTGGGAGTGAGTCGCTGGAGGTCGGTGGTGCCGGCGATGCTCAAGCACGCGCCGGCCGTGGGGGTGAACTCGGTGGTACGAGTGGGCCTAGTGACGCACTTTCTGAGCCAGTGAGGCTCGCGCTTTGACAGGAGGCCCGGGAGACCCGGAGATGCCCTGCCGGGATGCAAGGAAGGCGTTTGGATGTGGGTCAGTGTAAATGAAGCATTTACTTCAAGGGAGTTTCGCGTTGCGACAGGCCTAAACGGGATTCCTCCAAAGGAGGACGAATGCATTTGGAGAGAGCAACAGGAAGCCTTGGGCGGAGTTTCTTTTGGGGTAGAGACGGGAAAGACAACATTCAAATTGTCAAGAGTCAAGGACCAGCAAGCGCCAAGATGCCCAAAAGGGGCACAAGCCTGGAAACGTGAAGGTCATGAATGTGGTAGGAGGTTGGCGGCGAAACTAGGGAACCCGACTGGCTAATGGCCTTTCTCGTGCCATTTTCAGGATCATAAAGAGAGCCTTGGTTGGACAAACTGCCGTATCAGAATGCAGGCGGTCAGACGTGCTTCATGAATACACAAACGTCACTTTTAAGAACCAATCTCAAGCAATGGGACTCCTGTGGGGGCCTTCATGTTCATTTCGAGGGCGGGTTTCTTGGTTGGCTGTGGTTGGATTCTGTTGCACTGCATGCTGAATCAAACGTGGAGGCTGGCAAGGACACCAGATGGGACAGGCCAGGGCCCCTGTGTAAACAGGTCAATCGTCCTCCTTTGGATGCCCCTTTGAAGGTGGTCTGGTTTAAACAAGTTTCCCCAACCGTAGGACACGCAAGCCACTCCTGGCTTCCCGGAGGGGGCATTTGGGACTAGTTGGCGTAGGCCGCTTGCTCTCTGGTCCGAAGATCCCGGTGCTGAGCCGCGGTCGACATGGCCTCGCAACAAGGCTGGTCATACGCTGACCGAGCCCTGCTTAGATCATGTTTTGCCAGTTTCCCTTGGAAACACCAGGCCATGGGGCATAACCTATGGCTCCATTTTGGGGTGGATGAACATCCATTGCCACCTATGTTGATGTTCACCAGGGGTACAGGGTTTTGACCCACAGCCACCAAGCGTTTAAAACATTCCCCGAAACGGGTTCGTTGAACAATTGTCCGACTCGTGAGATTTGGGCGGCCTGTGGCGTCCCCTGAGTATCTTCCGTTTCGACCACGGCTCACATCCGCCCTAATGCTGGGGGCTGCGCCCGGGTAAACCACGCCTTGTTGCTGTCCCCCCTTCGAAGTTGGGCTTGAGGTCTGGAATTCCATGGCTGTGTCTCTTCATGGGGAAGGGGGCAAATACTCAATTTGGGCCCGTCGCTCGCACGAGAATTGCGCGGCCTGTTCCTGTCTGATCATCGGATTTTCGCGCTGCCTTCTCGAGGTTGTATATGGTTCGCTTGGGGAAGCTCCAGAATCGGCTAATTCTCCTTGATCGCCCATCCATTCTTCTTGTTGCCTCGCGCCCTGAAGTTGTTTGTGGCTGACCCGCTCGCACTATCTAGGGCGTTTTCCCAGGACTTGTGGTTCACGTTTTGCCCGGAAGGTTGCCTGCAAGCTGTAGGGCAACCGATCCTCTTGCCCAAGGGTTGCAGCTCCGGCGAATTCGCCCCCCGAAGCCCTACGTGGGTAGCGTGGGGCGGTTCTGCATTGCCGGCCGCCGCTCGAATACAACTTGACGCCTGGCTTGGGTGTCAGGGGTCCCTCAATTTCGTTTCAGACCAAGCGTGGCAGTTGGAATCCACCACCTAACTGAACCGTTTGCACCCCTGTCCTGGGTGTGGCTTAGTCAGGCGAGGCGCGGGTCTCGGCAAAACCTGTACAGCTCACCGCCAGCCGCGTCTGGCGGGCCTGAGATACCCTCTGCGGGCTGCAGGGTACAGAGGACGCAGGCACCTGAACATGGCGCATGAGTTGAAGCTTTTGCCTCTGGGAAGACAGCCCTAAACACGTGGACACTCCGGTTGTTGGCGTTGCCAAGTGCAGTAAACAATTCCCTTCTTGAGAATTCCCTTCTTGTTTTGTTCTTCGCGCATCTACCGATGGCAAAATCAAAGCAGCAGCCTGTTCTTAGGTGCCTGTGGCCAGTTCCTTTGTTGCACACCGCACGAGGGAACTCCAGGGATATGGGGGCCTCTCCCACGCTCCCCTCCGCGGAGCTGCGCGGTGTCCGCAGTTGGCCGATTTTCCCCGCGGCACATGGATCAGTTGCGACGGCAACAGGTTACGGCGAAAGCGGGAAACGTCGAGAACAAAGCCCGTAGGCTGTGGCGCAAAATTCAAGCGCTAGTTACGCAGGATCTCTTTGGTTCCATTTGCCAAGGGGGCCATTTTGGTACATTTATTTGAGCCACAGCCGTTTCTGTCCAATGAATGTCTCTTGCACATGCAGTGCATCAGTTTTGATCAGGACCCTTCTTCAAAGGCTTGGCCTGCATTCAAAATGCCCAACGTTAGTAGGATTGGGCGAGGGGTGGCCCTGGAATTCCTTCTTGTGGTTGGTGGCTGCCTCAAAACATGGAACGGGACACCTGAACCCTAGCCCGTGTTCTGAAGCTGGGCCCCCCCTGGGTTAGATCCACAGTACCCTGGCCGCAAGCGCTCGGCGCTCGGCACCTTGCGAGCCTCGCAGCCCCGCTCTGGTAGCCCTGGGACCGGCCCTTGTTTTTCTCCAAGCGAGCGTGTGGCGAACCTCTCTGCCCGTGGCTCTTGCATAGGCAGGGCCCCGAGTTGGAGCAGTCCCTTTTTTTTTTGGTTCTTCTCCCCATTTGGAGCGCAGGGGGCCCCGGCTTTGTGGGACAGGACATTGTACTGCATTGGCCATGCACTCTCAGAGCTCAACAGGCCTTCAAGTTGCATAGCCTCAAAGGTGAACTAGGTTGGTATGGCCAATGGTCCGGAATACTTTCTTCGCATGCTTCTTGTCCCTCGCAGAACTTGTTTTGGTCTCGAGCATTGGTGGCGACCCGGGGGATTTGTATATTTCGAACTGGGCAGCTGGATGTGCCCGCGCTCGCTTTTCAATTGGTAAGACCCCTTTAAGGACTTGAGGGAATGGCTGATCACTTCTTCACTCAGCATGCTGAAGAGCGATTGCCGCTGGAAAGGTGAGATTGCAGCCACTGAACTTGCCAAAGTTTCGCGTCCAAAGTTCCGAGGCTACACCGCAGCAATTAAAAAGTGGTTTTCAGCCATTCCCCCAGCGCAGGTCTCACCTTGAGCCACCCTCCCGCGAACATGACCCTCTAGGGAGTTCTGACCATGGCACACAAAGAGCACATCGCAGGCCCCCCCTCAGCCTGCAAGTGATGGGATGGTCTTTCCACGCAGCAAGGTAAGTGGGCTTTGAATGGACCAAACTTCCAGGCATGTCACAAATTTCTGCAAGAAAACGATCCCCCCCAGAAGCACCGTGAGAAAACTGGACTTGTATTGAAATTGCTACATGTAAAAAGGGGACATTCTCCCTTTTTCGACATTAGCCTTTTACGCCGAAAGCCTTTTCTGACCGACTGGCCAGTGGACATCTCGCAATGCACCCTTGAGAGCCCGGTCGCTTCCGCTTTCAAGTCCGTGTTAGTAACAGTGGCCCGTGCAACCTGCATTGATCACGCCTTCTTTGGGGCATTGCCAGGTCTAAACCAACCCCGTAAAATGGGTGAGCATAGAACAGTTGGTTGAAAGTTTAACCACACCACGTTTTTCTTTTTTCATCCTTTTTTTAAAGAAATAAACAAAAATAAAAATAGAAATGAGAACACAAGTCCAGCTGGCCCCTGGTTTCCGCGACCTCGCGGGAGTGTGGCAGGGCCCAGGCGCCCGCCTTTGAACGTGTGGCTGCCTGGGGCGGTTTGGCACGGTACCAAGCCTGCGGTTTTTTTTTCTAAACGGAGGTACGGTGAACGGGGGGGGGGGTTTGGGGCTGTAGATATTTGGCTGTGGGTGGAAAAAACCGTCTGGTGAACATCAAAATAGGTGGCAAATGGATGCTCATCCACCCCAAAATGGAGGCAAAGGTTATGCAACCCATGGCCATTTTTGTTTTAGGCCGCCATTTGTTGGATGGGAGGCTCCTGTTGTTTTAGGCCTTCAGTATTTGGCTGCAGGGCTCAGCTTGTTTGGGAGAATTCAGGCGGGACGCAGAAGCCAAACCGGTGGGTAGGACACATTTGGATCGCGAGCCTAGCTCTAGCAAGGTCACAGTGGGATTGAGGTTGGCCAACTTGTAAGCATGGCATCCACTTACCTGTTCGCCTCACGAACATGGCACCTGATAGGGGCCTCCCTTCAAGAGGAACGTCATTTTCCAGGTTTCCCTGCCGGGTATGAAGTCTGATGGCGGGTCTCTTAGCACGGTTGGTGAACATACACCCCAATGCAAATGGTGTGCACCAAGATCAAGAGGTCGCGAATTGAGGGTCATATCATATCCATATAACCTTTGTCATTCTGCTTCTTGGAGTTTGTGTTCTTCCGAGCTGAATTTGAATATTTTTCACAAGCCCTTCGCGGAGCGTCCGCCGTGCCTGCGCCCTGCGGCGCAAGAAGCTGTGCCACGGTCAAAGCACACCAAAAACTCCACCCTTTACTCGGGCATGGCAGGGATGGTCATCAACCCTTGTCATGGTCAAGCAGTGCAAGGGGGTTTCCTCTCAAACCGTGGCACCTCTGTTTGCAGATCGCCTTAAAAGAGCGTCCGCATCTGCAGCGCCCGCTGGGCGCGAGGAAACTATGCCACGACGTGCGCAGAAGCTCCAGCTGCACAAATTGTTCTGTCGGAAGGAGCGTGGATTGGTGGAGCCCCCTGGTGGCTTTTGTTAGTTGGTCCGGGGAATTGGATCCTCCCATCTCCCAGTCTTGAGGGACCTGAATGCCAAAGGGGCCAATGTTTGGTATGCGCCTGCCACTTCCAGAGAGTGGGCGCCAAAGCTCGACGCTCGCAACCACAAGGAGGGTCGTTTCAAGAGTGGTTTAAACAACTTGCATTTCCTTAAGAATGTAGATATATATAAATAAATATATATATATATATATACATATATATATATATATACATTTTTCCCCTTGTCGGTTTTAAAAGGATTTTCTCTTTTTTTTTCTCCGGGGGTCTTAACCAAATGGAAGACACTGCAGGGCTTGGCCTAAGCTTCAAACCTTTTCATCCTCGAAGGCCGCACCCTCGTAATCAGGTCGGCTTGAAGCCAAGGGGCGGTAGGGGGGTGTAGCCCAACTCAAAGCGCACCAGGCGGCCCTTGGCTTCAAAAATGACCTTGCGACCTCAGATGGGGCAGGGCAGATGGGGCTTGCGACCAATGCTAAGGGCGGGGAATTCTCTCGAAAATAGCTCCAAGCTCTAGACGCGCGGATTGCCCTGGTTGCGCGCCTTCAACGGTGCTTCTGGCGCCGTGTTTTACATTCTTCGGCCAGCAGAAGCTTGATTGGCAAAATGCGAGATGAATGAGACCGGCCCCGTCTGGCTCCAGCAAGCCCAAAGAGGCTCACAATCCACAGGGCTCCTTAAAAGATACATTTTGCAACCATTTGAAACATGGCTTTTTCCACCAAAATGAAAGGAACCCACCAGTTACAAGTTGCAATGTTGAGGTGGATCCATTGTAAGGATCCCTGATCCAGTACAGAGGCAAACGGCCCCTTTTTCGCCCCTTGAGTTTCGAAGGGATTTCCCCGCAAGCACCTGAGACGCACTTTGCATGACGAAACGTGCAAAATCGGCAACCCAGTTCTGGCTCTTGATGAGCTGCTGACAATGTTGGTCTGCTGCTTCTTCAAAGTCCTAAAGCCACATTTGCCATGCCGGTAGGGTAGTGGTTCGCAAATTGCTGGTGGACACACGTCCCGCAAGGATGCCCACCAACGTGTCCCCAAGATGCTTTTCCAAATTTGGAACAACCAAAGGCTTTGCTCACGTGGGGAAAGCCAAGCTCACCTCATGACGAAATCCCCTTCTGGGCGATCCCTGAAAAGGCTTTGAACTGATTGTGATGCCTGATTTCTGATTTCTGATTTCCATGGCACCGACTCCGGCCACCATCGGCGCGAATAACGACGCGATCGATGACGACCCTGCGGTGCCAGATGAGCCGATCAAGTCGACTGCCTGGTGCTTTTGGGCGCCTTTCGCGAGAGAGGCAGGCAACTGGGTTGGAGAAAGGCGTCGTGGGGATCAACCCCTAGGTGTATGGAAAGGGGACCCATCAATGCTCCCCAATAAAGCTGCTTACAACCGTATATATTTCGCCTTTGTGGGTAGTAAGGAACCTGTGTATATATATATATATAGATATATACATATATCGATATATGTACAAAAAGAGGGGGGGGGGGGAAGGGGTAGGGATCTTGTGAGTGTCACCTCACAGGACCAATTGAAGCACTGTCGACCTTTGTTTGTGCCAATTTAGGAAGCACATGGCAAAGTGGTTGACACGCTGACGCCACCTTGGATAGTGCGGGAGGCAACAGAAATCTGTCACGCTGTCTTGCTCTTATGCTGTTCCGACACTGCGATGGGAGGGAAAGACCATGCCATAAGTCCGGCCAGTCGCTTCACCCATCCATACATCAATACATTCGTCCATCCATACATCCATCCATCCATCCATCCCCATCCCTCCCTCCCTCCCTCCCTCCCCCCCCCTCCCTCCCTCCCTCCCTCCCTCCCTCCCTCCCTCCTCCCCTCCCTCCCCCTCCCCTCCCTCCCTTCCCTCCCCGCCCTCCCCTCCCCTCCCCTCCCCTCCCCTCCCCTCCCCCCCCTCCCTCCCTCCCCTCCCCTCCCTCCCCTCCCCTCCCCTCCCCCCCCTCCCCTCCCTCCCTCCCCTCCCCTCCCCCTCCCCTCCTCCCTCCCCTCCCTCCCCCCTCCCCCTCCCCTCCCTCCCTCCCTCCCTCCCCTCCCTCCCCCCTCCCTCCCTCCCTCCCTCTCCCTCCCTCCCTCCCCTCCCCCTCCCTCCCCTCCCTCCCTCCTCCTCCCTCCTCTCCCTCCCTCCTCCCTCCCTCCTCCCTCCCTCCCTCCCCTCCACACAGTAGCGTTTGAAAGGGGCCCCTGAATATTGACAAGCGGAGCCACCATCAAAAGGACAAAAGGAGGCAAAGCTAAAACACATGACTTGAGACTCCACGTTTGAATGCAAGGTTCACGCTTTCCTTCCTCCCTCTGTGAGGGCTCAACAACGTGCCCTTGGACCCCTTGTATTCGCCCTTTTCCCTTGACATACCACACGTAGGTACCACCCCATACCTAGGTCGGGCACATCCCATGGAAGGCCCTGCACAGACAGACCTGCGAGGCGGAGAGCGAGCTCGAGCAGCTGAAGCCTCGAAAAGCCATGGCGAACCTGAACTGGATCAGCCCCTTGGCAGGTACTTACTTGGTTAATCAGTCAGTGGTTGGTTGGTTGGTTGCTTGCTTGCCTGCCTGCTTGCCTGCCTGCTTGCCTGCCTGCCTGCTTGCTTGGTTGGTTGCTTGGTTGCTTGGTTGCTTGGTTGCTTGGTTGCTTGGTTGCTTGGTTGCTTGGTTGCTTGGTTGCTTGCTTGGTTGTTTGGTTGCTTGGTTGCTTGCTTGGTTGCTTGGTTGCTTGGTTGCTTGGTTGCTTGGTTGCTTGGTTGCTTGGTTGCTTGGCGGGCGGGCGGGCGGGTGGGTGGGTGGGTGGGTGGGTGAGTGGGTGGGTTGGTTCGTTGGTTGGTTGGTTGGTGTGCTCTTTTCCTTTCGTTTCCTTTCCTTTGCTTCCCCTTCCCTTCCTTTCCTTTCCTTTGCTTCCCTTTGGTTTCGGTTCGGTTCGTTTCGCTGGTGCTGCGTCAAATCAAACTTGCCGGGGTCATGTTTGAGGTTGAGGTAGTTGGGTGGTTTGAGGGCTGGCTCAGTGGTTAGCACTCCCCTCCTAATCCTTTGAAGCCGCTCCTGAACAAGCTTTCTGACCCGCATGGCCAGCCAACCCCTAAAAGAAGGGGAGAGGTGTATGAACAACAATGCGGCTTTCGGGGTCATTTGCACAAAGGGTGTGTAAAAGGGGTCTGATAGCCCTGAACAGGTCTTCGCTTCCGCCCAGCGGCCACTGTCATGCTCCTTGCAGTTACTGGATCTCAACACGAGCTGGAACAAACTACGTGTCCGAATTTGATTTATTATATGGCCCTTGGGGTTCTGCGCCAAAAAGGGTAGGCCTTTGGCTGCTGTCACGTCGGACCAGTGAAAAAGTCAACGAATTGCCACAATGGGCATAGGTCTACATAGTGGACCCCACTTGGGAGGGCCAAATTCCCAATTTGAAAAACGGCCTGGAAGCAGCTTGGCCTACTGTTGCTCCCCACATTGAAAGGTTGCAAACTGTATGACTGCAGGCAGGAGGCTAGCATAAGGTACTCCGATCTGTTGGGGCCGGAAAGCAAACATTGGTGATACTGCTGGTGCAGTAGGTCGGGGATAGTATGAATCACCAGGGGCACGTCTACCCTGCTTCAAAACCACACTTGTATCACACGTTTTCCCCAACACTCCACCAGGTTTCCATCGGAAAATCCCCAGTGAGAAATGTTTTTTTTTTTTTTTTTTTCAATGGCTTCTTGTTGAGCAGTGCTCCTTATAAGATACATTTTGCCCATGGCGGTGTTCAGGTGTATAATGTAAGGATCCCTGTATTGCGCCGGCTCTGCGATGTGCGAGGCCTGCTGGCGGACATGTTGGCTGGCACGCGGGTCTTTTGGCTGGCCCCGGGGCTTTTTGTCGCAGCCCAGCTGGCAGCCTTCGCGTGGACCGGAGGTGAGGAGAGCCTTGACCTGGAGCAACCGGCGCCTGGCGCAACTGTTTTCGGTGCCGGTCTTGGCTTCCAAGTTGCCCAGCAATTGGTGCCCGACCTCTCACCCCCGTTTTGAAAATTTTGGGAGGGCAAGCCCCTACCAAAATAGACCACAACTTATTCTGACCTCTCCACTGGAGGACCTAGACTTGGCTTCCAAGAGGTCCTGGGCTTCGCGGGCCAAGACCGCGGGCACACCTTCCGGATATTTAAAAAAACAAAAACTCGGGCACACCTTCGGAGAGCAAAAGAACTCAATCGTAGGTTGGAGGTTGTTAAAGCCAGCCATAGAAAATCTGAGAACAAATCGGCCAAAAGGACTCGTTCTCTCTCTTTAGGCAACGAAAAGAGGTGCCCAGTGATATTGTTGGTGGGTAATTATTTGGCTAGTTTCCTGCAGATTTTCTGGGCCTTGTCTCCATAAAGGCATCACAAAGGCCTACTGGAACTCCTCTCGTTTGCTCAAGCGGCGATTTGAGCTATGGGGGCGAGTCCAAAGCTGATTGCTGGTGGCGGACCCCCGGGGCGTCACCCACGTCTTTTTTGTGAAGGCAACTCTCATCTTTCCGCCAGAGCCAAGTGGAAAAGAGACAGGAAGCCGTTGACACCAGCTGGGTTCAACAACCTGAACAAGATCCCGCCCGGCCCATTAGAAACCAAGCGATTGGAAAGCCAAGGAGCTTCTTCGGAATGGTGACTGGCGGCGTGGTGGAAAGCTTGAGCCTAGACACAGGCGAGCCCCTGAGCTTTGTGCGGGGATTTTTTCACGACCAACCAATGGCCATGGGTCAAAAGCCAAATCGTACCCCCCAGTGAACATCCGATTCAATCCCCACTAAAATTGACTAACATTGGTGGTGCAGCTACCACAAAATGGGATCCCATTGGTTTTGACCCACAGCCAAATGAGCGTCCGTTTTTTGCCCAAGTGACTGGGGGCTGGACAGCTGTTCAGTTGTGGTTGTGTTCGGTGGCATCCGCACTTGAAAGGGTCAGTCCCAGAAAAGGTGGGTGGAAGCAAATTGTCAAAGGGCCCCGCTGCCACAGCAAGTGGCACCTGCCCCGAACTCGGGATTGTGAGATCCTACGGCTGACGGGGAAAGCACGCTGATGCGGCCCCGCTTTTGATTCAACGAGTTGATGGCCACTGGAAGGCAGCCACGTCGACAAGTCCGAATTGCCTTGACGCACCTGGGCCCCTGGGCCCCTCCCAAACTCAGGGGCTTCCCTCCAAAATGGTTGGTCTCCTTTTGGCTTCCCTCTAAACCACTCCATTTAGGGGTTTCCCCGGCGAGAAGTTCGGCCGACATTTTTGAGGCGCGATCATGCGCTGGCACATGTTCAGCGCCTCGGCGATGTGGGCGCTGGGGGCGGTGCAGTTCCTGGCGCGCCGCTGGCGCCAGGGCGCCTGGGCTCCGCTGCACCGCGGCTTGGGCCGGCTCTTCCTGGGGCCCGGCCCTCGGTTTTTTTTTGGGGGGGGAGGTGAGGTGGGGAGGGGGTCAGAGGTGGGGGAAGTGGGGAAGTGCCAAGGGCCGGGTGGGGGCGGGGAAGGGTTGTTGTTGGGAAACATGTTGCATTTGGTTTGTTTATTCTTAACTGCCAAAAAAATGAAATTGTTGCTCCCCTTCCAACGTCAACCAAGGGGAGGGGTTGTTTGACTCCGGACGAGGCAAGAGGTAAGATGCAAATGGATTGTGATACTTGACGTTTTTCGGTCTTTGCCGTCCAAGTGGGCGGGGGAACGGGTTGCCCCTGTTATTTTGGAGTGTGGTCTTTGACAATGTGGGTCTTTGCCGTCCTGGGGGGTGGTTCCCTGAAGCACCCAGCCCCGGCTGGATCGTCCTGCCGTAGGCCTGAGAGCGCAGGGAAACTCATTGCGCGGGTGGAGGCGCCATGAGCAAGAACTGCACACTTGTCGCCGGCACAATTCATGCAGTTCAACCACGACAGGTTTGCTGTGCATGTCGCAGTTGGTCCTGTGGATTCCGCTTTTTCTTTTGTTCATTTATTTTCTTCTTGTTTTTCTTGCCTTGCTTGCTCTTCTTGCCTTTCTTGCCTTTCTTGCCTTTCTTGCCTTCCTTCTTCTTTCCTTCCTTCCTTCCTTCCTTCTTTCCTTCCTTCCTTCCTTCCTTCCTGCCTTTCCTTTCTTTGGGGGTCGCTTCAAACTCAACCAAGCAGAAAGCAGGCATCCCCCCCCCATTCCGCCCCTCCGGCCCTCGGCGGGCCAAACCACTCGAGGCTGTGGTTCGCGGTCGCCGGGCCTTCCGCCTTCTACCTGAGCCTCTACAGCGGCACCGGGCCATCCAATGCGCAGGTCTGCCTTGTGCAAGTCCAACCCGGGGAGGGGGAGGGGGAGGGGGGAGGGGGATGGGGGATGGGGGAGGGGGGATGGGGGAGGGGGAGGGGGAGGGGAGGGGGGAGGGGAAGGAACACACAAAACGAAGAACTCCCTTTCCCGGCCCCTTCCCGGCTCAGAAACGTACAGCAAATGCTTGGGGGCTGAACTTGTCCGTTTCGGGATTGATGGGTGTTGGCTTTTGTTTGGGCTTGGGCCTGCAAACTAGGCGTCAAGTATCCATGTCACGGTCCCACTAAGTGCAAGCATGTGGATTCCGCTCCGGTCCCGAGCGGACTCCAAACTTGCGTTTTCATTGGGAGGGTAGCTTGAAATTCCAGATGGTTTGAGGATTTGAAGGTTTGGTCCTTGCAGCGCAAATGGGAAATTCTCGCGAAATGGCTCCAAGCCACTCGAGCAATTAGAGCCACTGGGGGGCTAGAGGGAATTGGAATGGGGCTTTTTGGGGGCTCTGAAGGCAAAAGATCAGTCATGATTTCATGATGCAGAACAAATGGGTGTGGGTCAATATGAAACTGCCAGGTTACCGCAGATTTTCGTCCATGTTTCCATTTACCAGGGCAACCTATTTTGGGTACCCATTTTTGACCCACAGCCAAATGCGCAAGTCTTATTAGGTAGGATCGTCATGTTCTAATCATATCACGTGAGCAGCAGGTGGCCATGACTGCCTTCTCCGTGGTCTCCATGGAGACCACGGTGCTGGCCTTCTACTACTTCTGGCGCCTCGGCCGGTCCTCCGATGTCTCTGGTCCGTGAGTGCATTTGTCACATGTCTTTTGTTAAGACGTTGGTGCAACAAAATCTCCCCACCCCGGGGCACTGTTTGCCCCTTCCTTTCCCGTTGGGCACTTTCGTCCAGCCGCCCAACCCATCCGATCCAGCTCAGGAAGGGCTGGCGCGTGGCGGTTCGAAGGCGGCTGGGAGCGGAGACCTGGCGCCTGCACAAGAAGGCGTTCCCCCTTTTTGTTTTCTCTTCTTTTTTTTCCTTCTCCGTGTGTGTTTTGCTTTGGGGGCGGGGGGGGGGGCTTTTTTTTTTGGGGGTGGGGGGGGGGGGTGGGGAGCAGGTTTATTTGGGGGCGTTCTTTTTGTTCTCTTTTGTGTTTTTGGGTGGGGGGGGGGGGTAAAACAGCAAGCAGTAGCTTACCCGCAAGCAAACTACTCTTGTTTCCAAATCCCGCCCAACATAATTTATCAATCCACTCACCAAAACCATACAATAATTAATAAAATGTTTCAAGTTATTCATTTTTCAAGAATAACTTAAACCATTTCAATTATCCTCAACCTCATTCTTTTTTAAATTATCAATGTGCTTCTTTGTTTTTTCATTCCTCGCTTTATGTTTCAATCTAACCTCACAATCACAAACAGAGCACACAAATATTTTCATGCCATAGTCTTTATTTGTTTCGCTTATCTCCTGTTTATGATTGTCTCTCCATGTCTGCGAGTAGATTTTCATTTTTTCTCTACACAAATCACAAGTTTTATGATTTTCCGAAAATAACCCAATCTTTCTATTCATTTTACAATGTGAACAATATTGTTTTTCTCCTTCTTCTATTTCTTTTTGTTGCTTATCCATCGCGTTTTTCAGTCTCTTTCTTTGGTCTTTCTTTTTCTGCCTTTCACGGCATCTATCACAAGTTTTACAACTTCCTGAAAATAAATCTCTTGCCTTATAACATCCACAACACGCGCAATATGTTCTTTCCATAATCTTCTACTATAATAAGCAATCTACCCTTTAAATGGTTTCACGACACAAATAATATTTTTGCTCTGGGGTAAGACCCTCATAGAAAAAAACACCAAACAACAAACCAAACAAAAAACCAAACAACCGACCATACAATAGATTTTTACATAAACCCTACACTTTCAGCAATTCATGCCTCAACAATGGTCTGGGTCTTCCATTTACATAATAATATTTCTGCCCTAATTTACTTTCTATTCTTTCAACTGTGAAGACTTCTTTTAACCAATGACTTGTCTGTGCTTTTTCACTTATTCCCTTTTTCCTTAATATCTTTACCCGACTGGACACATCTAAATCAGGATACACACGGGTTTTTCTGGCATTCATTGATATATTCAGTTTCACTTCAAACTCATTCTTTTTCTTCCTTGCTTCTAATGGTGTCATTTTCGTAACGGAACTTACTAATTTATTATTATATGTCAATAATATTTCTAAATTGTAATCAACCCATTGGATGTCTTGCTTTCCTCTCTTCTCATCCGCCTCAACTCTTTTAAATAACATATCTTTGTAGGTGTTTATAAATCTTTCTCCAAAAGCAGGGTGGCCTCTCGTGGTGTGTAATTCAATTTTTTCCTCATCAAGATAATCTGTAATGGTAGAACTAAACAAACTGCCTTCTTCGTCGCTGTATATCATTTTGGGTTTTCCGCCCATTTTCTTAATGCCTTCCATTATTCCTGCTAATACGTCTGGCGGTTGCTTACTTGCAATAGGTATTACAGTAGCATATTTACTAAATATATCAATCAATATTAGTCCAATTCTAAACTTTTGATTTTCCAAATCATTTTTAGAAATAAAAAACAAATCCAACTGGAATTCCCAAAATGAGTGTGGAGCAACAAAACTATTCTGCCCTCGCATTTTCCTTTTTTCCTCAACATTCTTTTTAAAGAATTCATTTACATCGTCCGCAGTAATAGTTTTATCTTTCTGTCTGGCATCTTTCAACGTTATTCCTTTACTGCCATAACCGCTTTTATCATAATAAATATCACTAATTATTTTTTGTTTATCCATATAATAAATTAAGATTTATTATATTGATAATATTATTTATAATTTAAGTTCAGGATAATAAGTTAATTGATGATTATTAAATTGTGTATATATCTTACGTCTGTCATGCATCAGTTCAAAAATAATATTGATATCTCTCACGGTATTTTTCACATTAAACTTTTTGCTTTCAATTTCTGATTTAATGTCTTCTTTTAATTCACACCCTTCTCTTCTACGATGCAACAATATCCATAAAATGTGGTTAATCAGTTCATACTTTTTCTTACTGATTTTGAGAAATATTCTAACATAACTATAAGGTGGTCTTTCATACACAGTTAAAAATATTATAATGTCGTCTTCAACATTTGTATTATGTCTTCTTTTCAGATTTAAATGACATCTGATTAATTCTTGATTATCTCTCCATTCCTGACAAATTTTACATTCATCTTCTTCACCCAAAGCATAATCAATAATATTATTAACTATTCCATTAGGTAAATTCATTTTGTATAATTCCATATGTTCTTTATTGAAGTGGCAACAGTCATAGCATTTCTTATTGATATGATTATTTACTTCTTGTTCCTTCATTACTCTCTACTATATATAGGTATTATTTCTTTAAACCTTTTTTAGTCTAAAACTAAGATTTTATTATGAAAAAATATTAAAATCTTAATGAGCTGAAACATTACAATATACACAGAATGAAGTTGAATTATCTATATGGTGAGCGATTGAATTATCAAGGCGCTGACAAGTAAAATTGCTACATAATTTACCTTTCTTCGTTTCAAAGTTAAATGAAGTATTACACTTTTGGCATCTGGCGCGAAACTGTGATAAACACCATTCAGCACTAATGTATTCTTCCTCATTAATTTCTCTTTGAGCGCGACGGTCTTGTATCTTATAATTTTCTACTTGGTTTTTAAAATATCTCATTATCATATTTTTATCCATTTGCTTATCAAAGTCTGGATTACAATAAAATTTAACTTTCCTAAAATCAACACATCTTGTAATCGCTGTCCATAAAAACTCTCTACTTACAAATGGTAAATTCCATTCATGTATTGTCATGCTTTCTTTTACACTTGCTCCCTGTGATGAGTGAGTAGTAGCACAATACGAATATATAAAATTAGCATCTACAATAGGTTCAAACAACACAAATTTATCTTCTTCCCTTGCTATATTTTGTAATGTTATTTGTTTTCCTAATTCATCATCTTGTATATTTGTAATCCTGTATCTCAAATTTATATTAACTCTGGGTTGTTTAATCCACTTTCTGGCAATTAAAATATCACCCACTACATACTTGGCATGTATGTTTAATCTCTCTCTGATTTCACTTGCTACATTTCGGCATCTAATATTGGTATAGGCGATGTTATGATCCGATGCCATTATATCATCAGTGAATTCAAAATATTTGGGTATGATGTCATTAATTGGCAATTTATTTTCCCAAAAGTCAGCATACATATCATTAATTATTGCTCTGTTTCTTTCTCCTTCTTCACTATCTTTTGCACCTACTCTTTTACAAATTGTTAAGAAGATGTTGTATTTAAAGATTGTGTCCAAACAATTATCCATGTATGTCGCTGGATCTTGGCAGTTAGTCAGAATTTCTACTCCCTGTAATTGCTTGACATCACCAGTAGCAACAACAATTTTATCTGGATTATTCTGAATGAATAACCTTACTTTATTCAATACATATAAATTTGCCATATATATTTCATCAAATACAATTATATCAAATGGCGAGTAATCATACTGTGGCAATTTCTCTCCGGCATCTTCATGAACGGCAATGCTAAAAAACTTGTTGTATGTTGTCGCCTCTACTTCTTTCTCTTGTAAAAGTCTATTGGTTGGAACAACGAACAGAACATTATAATTCATTTTTTGGAAATATTCGCCTATATAACTCTTACCTGTGCCCGGTACTTTCCCTTTCACAAGGCACGGATTTTGTTTAATAACTTTTTTACAAATGCTTTCAGTAATTCCATTCATCTTCAATAGAAATATTAATATTCTTAATCTTCGGTATTTCAGGTAATTCATTAAACTTATACTTATATGGTTGTGTCGGTAATGTTATAGTGTGCTTCTCTTCAAGTCTCCAGTCGCCTATCTCATCGCCAAATTTCAGCAGTCCTTCCCGCCATTTTCTCAAATAAGTATATCCATAAACTTTATCCAAATCGTCTTCGTGGATAGTAAAACTGTCCGTTTTAACACTATACACTTTAATATTATTATCAGTTAATGTTTTATATGTTTCAGACATTTTGAAATTGTGGTATTGTAAAAGCAGTTCTTTTATTAGCATAAATCCATTAGTCAATACTTTTTTATCTGACACATTCAATACATAATATGTCATGCCTTCTGTATCCTTTACTCTCATTTCATCATCTTCTAATTCTTCTAATTCTGTTTGGTACTGACCGATTGTATAAATCTTGCCACCATTTAACTTTTGATAATAACATGCCTCCCTCAATGAGTTAAATGTGCTACTTTTCTGTGATGTGTTATGCGATTTTTCCAGCATACCGATGCTTATGTTTGCTACTTTCTTTTGTAGTTGCTTATTTAAATCTTCATTGCTTGATATGTTTGTAGAATAGAGTTCATCAATTATTTTCTTGTAATTAACTTTATAAACATGATTAGGTTGTTTGTAATATAATATCTTCAACTTAATATCACGCTTTAACAACTGCTTTAAAAACTTACCGTAAATCAGATTATATTTCTTGTTAAAAAAATATGTTTCCTTCATAGACTTCTACAATGTATAAATTTAAATTATTAAGACTATTAATATCGCAATTTTGAGTAAAGGGTTTAAACACATCAAACTCAGTAAATCTGGGGATGTATTTAATACAGCACCCGCCAAAAGTAAATGCCTTTCTAATGTCAATCTCCCTCAACTTTTTAATATTAACCTTATTATCAAAAATCCCAACCGGGACAATAGTTTTACACTCCTTCAATATCTTAATATCAACTTCATTGTAATATGATAAGTGGATTTCCTTAAACATGTCCTTTTGAAATCGGAACATAGCACTAACAATATTATTATATGTGTCTTCATCATCAACCGCCACATCTTCATCAATCCTATCTTTTGATAAACTCTGT